CAAACATCACTCAGATCCCCTCATTGTCCCTGGCACCGACACTTTGACTTGCTGGTGTACGGCAAGCATGCTGCCAAATGAGATATCAATTGCACCGTCAGGGAGCTGTGATAGGGGCATTTTGTGTCGTGCAATTTGCTTGTTCAGATGGTGCATCTATGCGGCAAGAACATGCGCACAATTTGAAAGTGATGCGCATCACATCAGCGTCGAACAAGTACACTGGCACCAACACTTTGAGGACCCACTGTGCAGGCTCCTGTTCACCAATTGTCTTGTTCTGACGCTCACTGGGTAGGTATGATAGGGGCATTTGCCGTAGTCAAGACAGTTGTGCTAGAACAAGGGCCTGCAAGCGGTGACAAGCGCTCAAAGGTTGGCATATGCAGGGACAACAGGCGCGTCAGCCTTGTTGTGCGGGTGTGGCTGCACCACTATACGTGCTATTTGTGCCTCAGCAGTGACGCGTACCGCTCACGCCCGCTCATTGTCCCTGGCACCGACACTTTGACCTGCTGGTGTACGGTGAGCATGCTGCCAAATGAGCTACAAATGGCACCATCAGGAAGCTGTGATAGGGGCATTTGATGTAGTCAAATTAGATCTGCCAGAACAAGTACCTGCAAGCGGTGACAAGATCTCAAAGATGGGCCTGTGGAGGGACAATGAGCGTGCTGCTGCTGGTACGCAGGTGTGGCTGCACCACTATATGCATCAAGTCTTCTTGTCTTTCACTACAGACAAGGCTTGTAGCAGGTAGCAGATGATCTTCTTTGTGGAAGTGACACTTGTTTTACGAAGCACAACAGCTACACTTGACTACCTGTGCGTCAACAAGGCAAGTACTGCTCATGATGGGCGCACAGCTTGCTCTGTAGCACGCTCCAAAGCTATAAAGATGGGATGTGAGATGCTCTCATGTCCATCTTCCCTCGTCAATCACTCACTCAAACACTCACTACTCAGTGCACAGCACCAACTCTTGCCCAAACCTCCCTTCCCCTCGACAAACTTCAACATGTCTACCACAACTGTTCCCACCACTGAGCAGCGTGCTCAAGCCCTTGCCCTGCAGTACCCATATCTCCCTCAATGGCAAGTCATTGCCTGCCTACAGTGCGCAAGCTGTGTGCGCCCAGGTAAGGATGCTATCACGCGACACCTGTACAAGCACAGCGTGACTGGGCCAGAATTAACAGTGCTTGTCAACCTGCTGGCTGATTACAAGGTGCTTGGCCCTCAAGCGCCACGCACAGAGTGGCCCACAGCCCTCATCAAAGAGCTTGCTGTTCATGATGGCTACCAGTGCACTTATGGATGCACAGATGCCTTTAGGACACTCGACAAGGTCAAGCAGCACATTGCTCATGTGCACACATCAGAGTCAGCCAGATCAGCTGATGCACCGCTTTGGAGACAGTGCACAGTGCAGACCTTTTATTCTGACAATCAAGCAGTGCGCTACTTTGCTGTAGCGCTGCCTCCCACGCCTGGTCCGACTCAGTCACAGTCGCAAGATGTCCCCCTGGCTGAGGAGGCCTTCTTTGCTGCGCTCCAAGCAGACAAGCAGCAGGCTGAGCATGACGCTCAGGAGCATGCCCAGCGCATTCATGGCTTTGGTGCCCATCACTCTGGTGCGGTGCCATGGCTACAGAACACTGGCATTGAGAAGCATGTGCGTGGACTAAACAAGCAGGAAATCCAGGCTTCCTTTGCGCTTCCCACAAGCAAGGCAGAAGCGCAGCTGGAGCGCATCCTGGCTGCCCTGGAGTGGGTGCTGCGTGACACGCACACACTGTGCATCAGCGAGTGGTCTTCCAAACTGACTTGGCAGCGCAAGCTGGCACTCAGCCACTTCCGTACGGTGGAAGTTGCTGGCACTGTCCACCGTGCTTGGGATCCTGTCAAGATGCCTGACACGCTCACAGACTACATCCGACACTGGAAGCAGCTCATTACATACTACTTCCGCATTGTGCATGAGGAGAAGGCGCACTTCAGCGCTGGCAGTGGAGACCACACCACGCCAGATGATCTGGTTCAGCCCACTGAGGAGCAGCGCTTTGCATGGGATCTGGTCTTGGAAGGGAGCAATAACACGCCCATTGCATCCTTTCTCACAGATGCAGTGCACTCTTTCTGCATGACGCTCATCCAGCATCAAACTGGCACACGCCCCTTTGCCTCTCCACTCCTCAGTTTTGTGGCCATGCATGCCATTGAAGTCAAGACTGGTGCATGGAAGTCAGCAGGCGTCTTCAGCAGCTTAGGGTTAGGATTACAAGGGGGTCCCCAATAGGGTTTTTGGAGTTTGTGTTATAAGCACCTAGAGAAGGCTGAGGGAAGCCAGCTGGTGAAGCGGCGCTCAAAACCCTACAGGTTTGACGGCGTGAGGTCCATCTAACCTCAAGATGGCATGGTTAGAGTGCCTAACTTGCTTGTCTTTGAGAGAAGTGCTTCTTGTCTGTTACAGTGACTTACATGAAGCTGTGGCATGAGACTTTCTGGAATTGGATTGCACAAAAGTCTTTCAGGGAGGGCACAAAGTGCGTCTAAGTTCAGCTTGGTACCTTAAGTTCAGTCATCTTCAGCATACTTGACACAAGTTGAGCATCAAGTTGGGGCAAGATGATCTGATGTTGGCTCATGTTTCCTGAACTTGACACAACTTCTGGTGGGCACTGAGGGGGCAAAGGGGGGACCCTTTGGATTGGGGACAGATGCCAAAAAGTGTGCTTAGGGGTGCATCTTCAAGGAAGTTCAGCTCCAGAAGGAGGAAGATGAATCAAGTTGAGGGAAGATGACCTGATACTGGCTCATGTTGCCTCAACTTGGCACAACTTTTGAGGGGTACTGAGGAGCAAAGGGGGGACCCTTTGGATTGGAGGCAGTTGGCAGAAGTGTGCCTGGTGGTGCATGTTTGGGGAAGTTGAGCTCCAGAAGGAGGAAGATGAACCAAGATGAGGGAAGATGGCCTGATGTTGGCTCATGTTGCCTGAACTTGACACAACTTGTGATGAGCATTGAAGGGCAAAGGGGGGACCCTTTGGTCTCAGACCAGATGGCAGAAGTGTGTGGTGGTGCAACTTCAGGGAAGTTCAGCTCCAGAACAAGGAAGATGCAGGAAGTTGAAGGAAGATAAACAGACATGGGCTCATGTTGCCTCAACTTGACACAACTTGTGAGGGGTACTGAGAAGCAAAGGGGGGACCCTTTGGTCTGAGACCAGATTCCAAAAATGTGTGTGGTGGTGCAACATCAGGGAAGTTCAGCTCTAGAAGGAGGAAGGTGAACCAAGATGAGGGAAGATGGCCTAATCTTGGCTCATGTTGCCCAAACTTGGGTGAACTTCTGATGGCCACTGAGGAGCAAAGGGGGGACCCTTTGGATTGGAGGCAGTTTGCAGAAGTGTGCCTGGTGATGCATCTTCAATGAAGTTCAGCTCCAGAAGGAGGAAGATGAGCCAAGATGGGGGAAGATGAACAGGCATAGGTTCATGGTGTCTGAACTTGAGAGAACTTCAGATGAGCATAAAGGGGGCAAAGGGGGGACCCTTTGCTTTGAGAACAAGTGGCAGGCAGTGTGTCTGATGGTGGAACTTCAAAGAACTTGAGTTTATCTTTGTGTTCAATGTGGGAAGTTGCAGCAAGTTGAAGAGCCATGAGCAAACATGTGCTCATGTCATCCAAAGTTGAGGGAAGTTCTGAGGGGTTACCACTATCACAGATGAAGTTCAGGGAACATGAGCTATTGGACTGATGTTACACATGAAGTTCATGGAAGATGAGCTGGTTGAGGTTAGGGTTAGGGTTAGGGTTAGGGTTAGGGTTACATACGGGTTCCCGGGAGGGGCAGAAAATAAGATTGGCCCAATGGATGCAGAAGGATGCCCTGATACTCCTGTCAAAGTTTGAGGCTCACCCCTGGGGGTATTGACAGAGATACAGGCAAAAGAGTGATTACCCCTGTACAAATGCAGGGTTTACCCCTGAAATTTGCAGGGTCTTGGCGTTTGCCCCTGGATCTATGCAGGGTTTACCCCTCCTCCTCATGCAGGGTTTTGCCCCTACCCCTGTAAAAATATGCCCCTTCCCCTGCAAGTTGCTGCCCCTGAATGACATAGGGC